TAACTCGAGGGGGAGTATGTGCGGCTGTACTCTTTTTTCCTTGTCTCGGTTTTTTTTTTCCCACAGGGTTTTTCCAGATAAGGTTTTTAACGAGGCAGCATAAACGCACATTTAATAGTGGTAATTCCAAGGGGGAGTGTTGTAATAAGTGGAATCTTACCACTAACAATTTTATTAGATTATCTTATGTGTATAGGAAGATGTGCCCATTGGCCTATAAAAGAAGGCCAAACCATTGTAATGTTTGTACATACGAAAAGGAAGAAGAGAGATAGGAAAAGTTTGTTATAATCAATATCCGGTTTTTACATTGTGTTCTTTATATTCCCCGTATTTTATAACATATTTAACTTAATTAATTTTTATATTGAGAGTGATGTAGGATATTAGACCGGGTCGAATAGACCCGACAAACCAGACAACCGGGCAGGGCTAAAACTGGTTAGTTGAACGGAGCTACAGGCAAGCCAAATGGAGTTATAGATTGAGGATGTCTCGGGTCGACGAGGACGTCGCAAGATCGAAGGAATACCAATAGGTCGAGTTTCGGCTCTTGGATGGCCTGGTTGAACTCAACCTGAAAACATGACGGGTCGATACTAGATGAGCAGAGCATACGAGCTCAGCGCAACCAACACTCTACTTCGAGGTGATCTAGGTTGGTCGCACGATTAAATCGTCTAATAAGACATATAAAATTACAAATATATAAGAATGAACATTATTAAAGTAATAACCACGGGGACAGAGTTATGTGGCCTAAAATAATTTGGCCGCTCGAACAATACGGACGGATAGTTTGGGCAGCTTGGACAGCTCAAATGAATAGTCTTGGGCAACAAGGTAATACACTCCTAGATATAGGGGGTGAGGTATGTTCATTCCAACATTACATTCTCTACATAAATATATACTTCCCGAGCTTTTTTCTTCCTTTTCTGCTGGAGTGAGATAGCTCTTCGCGGATTGTCCATTATCTTCATCGTAGACTGATTTGGTTATCGTAGTGCTAATAACGAGAACCTCTCCCGGCTCATTTAATAGGTCTACGAGGAGGTCATAATAGTTTTGCAATCTTAACTTATTATGACCAATTAATATAGACAAAACAATATTGAGTATTAGAATGTCTCTTATTTTTCTTCCTTTTTTCTTTAAAAAATTATATAATTTAACTTATAAATACGCTTTAATATAATCATACAATTTAATCATACAATTTAATTTTTCTTTAAAAATACGCTTTAATATATAATTATATATATAGTACTTGTTGTAATAAATTCAAATAAAATGTGTTACTTAAATATCTAAACAATTTAAAAATCTAAATGTTTGATAAACAATTTATAAATCTCAATTTCATTTAAATATGTAATTTTATTTAAAATAATTATAAATATAGCAAAACTTATTTAGAAAATCGTATTGATCCTACTTGTTCAATCGACTGGTGTTGACGGATTCAATAGCAAATATTTTATTCAAGCGAACTAGACATATTATAAATCGGTTCACGGTCCATCTGGTCGGACTATGTCCAACACGATTTAATTAAAAACGATGGGTAATCTTGATTAATTTATTTATTTAATTTATAATACAATCTTGTACCGAAAAAAAAAATATAATACAATCGTAATATTTTTTCTCGTGCATCGCACGGGCTACACATTAGTTAACATGTACAATTGGTTTGAAGAATCTCACAATTGCATAGATCTAAAATTTAAATAAATAATTTTTCAAATGTTCCAACAGCATCTAAAAGTTAAATATACATAGATCATATGATGCACAAGCCCTTACACCCGTACTAATTCAAATCTATACATGACCTTATAGTGCACATGGCCTAACACCCGTTCTAACTAATTCAAATTGACACAATCGAAGCAAACCCAGTGCCTGTAGAATTAATTAAACGATATTAAAACAAAAATTTATTTATTAGATGACTGTATATTTAATTTCGAATCACATTACAAAAAAATAAAAAAATGCATAGATTAATAAATAATAATCACTAATTTACAGCAATATTATATTATTATTATTATTATTACCATTAGTTAAAGATAGATGAGTTCCCGGAAACAACGGCAGCGCACAATGTAAACTGCCGGCACATCCAACGTCTCACAGGCGCTCCTGTCCTCTGCCCCCTCATCCACGTGCCACGTTTGCAATTTTACTCCGCCCATGTGGGCCCCACCCCCCAAACAATTAATAATCTATGGTTGTTGCCTGGGCGGCGGCCCCTTTCCCCAGTCAAACCCTTCGTTGACCGCCCCCACCCCTACCCCCAACATTTTTTTTTTCCCTATATAAAACGGCCTCGTACCCAAACCAGCCCTCAGCCATCCTCGGCGCACAATTTTCTTACACACACAAAATAATTATAAGGGAAAATTTGATCTTCTTTTTTTCTCTCTCTATCTTAACAATGGCGATGAAAGAAAAGGCCAACGGCGGAGGCGACGGCAAGGTGGTTAACGGCGTCAGGGAGGTCCACTACCGTGGCGTGAGGAAGCGGCCCTGGGGCCGCTACGCCGCCGAAATCCGCGACCCCGGCAAGAAGAGCCGCGTCTGGCTCGGCACCTTCGACACCGCCGAGGAGGCGGCGCGTGCGTACGACGCAGCCGCCCGCGAGTTCCGCGGCCCCAAGGCCAAGACCAACTTCCCCCATCCCTCAGAGGCCTCTGCCGCCGCCGTCGCCGCCGCCCACAGCCCCAGCCAGAGCAGCACCGTCGAGTCCTCCAGCGGCGGCGGAGGAGGTGGGCCCGTCGAGCTTGACCTCACTCGCCGCCTCGGCGCCGTCGCCCCGGAGGCTGGGGTGACCGTGGCGGAGCCCGCCGGCGGAGGATATCAGTTCTTCCTCCGGCCGGCGGCGGTGGCGGTCCTGCCTAACGGGCAGCCGGTTTTCCCATTCGGCGCGATGGTGCACCCCGGCATGGCGGTGGCGTACCGGATGAACCCGGCCGCCGTCGGGTTCCCACGCGGCGGCGCGTGGCGGAGCGAATCGGACACGTCGTCGGTGGTGGATGAGAACCAGGTGGACGGATCTGATGGCAAGAGAGGGCTGGATCTCGATCTGAACATGCCGCCGCCGGTCGAAGCTTGAATTTTGACGGAAAAACTGACGATTGATCTGTAAATAAGCTTTAAGAAAAGATGGATCCCTTTTTTTTTTTACAGCTGAGAGTTCAATTTCTCGTGTTGTTGTTACAAAATTATAACTGTGGCCGGTTGTTAGGGATTCCATTAGTTTCTCGTTTTTCTTAATTTGAGAAAAACAAAATCAAAAAATTGAAGAGTTGTTTTTTTTTTTTGAGTAATTCGATGTAATTGATCCAGATTGCAATCAGATCTAATATTTAGATGTATCGCATAATATTATTAAATTGAATGCAGTATCTTTTTTGGAATTTATTTCTCTTATTTAATCTCCAATTTATTTATTTCTTTTTATATGGATTTCAGTTTTAAATTTTTACATCATTGATGCAAACTTGCAACTCTTGGGTGGGTTTAGTTTTTTCTGCCACAAAAGAGGGAGAATTTGAACGGACTTATTATTTGCATAAAAATTAATTGCAATTGGCAAACCCAAAAAAAAAAAAAA